TTTTTGGACCAGTTTTTATATCTTATTGGCTGCTGTACTGGATTTATCGACATCACCAAAAGTTGTTTAAACTCTTGTACCAGTGTTTCAAAATCATCCAAAAGCTCAGACAGCTTCTACAACAAAGGTGCGAACCATGCTAAAGCTGGTCCGGTTAGCAAGCTTCCAAGAAGGCCCACTTGTGTTCGATCATCAGGGTAACGGTTAGGTTGCATCCGTATAACAAGGCGAATTTGGTTCAAAAATCCTCTAAATTTATTTTATGTACTATCAAACTTGTCTGGAAGGCTTATTTTGGGTCTCTTGAAATTATCAGCCCCTTGGGCACGAAGTTGGTTAAGGACATCTCTAAAATCAGCATTTTCCTGATGAAGGATTTGGTTATCCAACTGGAGTTGGTTTAGGGCTGTTAGTATAGTGTTGAGATTTGGTTGACCTTCCATTATTGTTGCTAAGATATGAGACTGCTGTATTATTACTATATATATGTTTTTTTTTTTTTTTTTTTTTTTAAAAAAAGAAAAAAAAAGAATTAATTGACTGAGAGTAGCAGGATTTGTGGTGTTACAAACAATATTTTAGTATTGAAGAGTAGTCTGTTCAAACTGTAATATGCACGGCAGGAACAGGTAAAATAAGCAGATTAAGTGGATTTTATTATATTGAACAGACTAGAGAATATAATGAAAAGTTTGTAATAGCTTTTATATTTTCGCTAGAACTTGGTTACTAATACTAACTATTACTAACTATTACTAACTAATAACTACATAATTTATGCGTATAATTACTATTACTAATTATTTAATTAATTCGTTTTATGACTTCATAATTTATACGTCAAGACATGCTTGGGTCGGATCTTGGTCACGAGCTTGGGTCACGGGTTTGCATCACAGGATCAGATTCTGGATGCATAACTGGTTATAGGGCGTTGGATTGGGGTCACAGGTTAGGATGAGTTACAGGTTGGATCGTTACAGAAGAATCTTCAGAGCTAGATAAACTTTGGAACATTATAAATAAAGCAATATTCATATCAGCAAGAAGCAATCTGCTGAAAAAGAAAGTGAGCAACATGGCACAGAACAAGAGAAAAAATGCTAAAGAATCTAAATTAGCTTACTCTCTAATGCAATTAGGTCACTGGATAAAAATATTGGAAGAAAAAACATTAAATTAGAACTTATTTTTGAGAATATACTAGACCTCGTCACAGAAATCGAGTTCATAAACCAACAACACAAAATGAACATTAACAAGGCAATAACCGTTTAGTCATATAACCTAATAGATGATTTTAAGGGCTGGTAGAAGATCCTGTTTGCGAAAAGAGCAAATGAGATTGAGTATCAGAAAAGAATAGAGATAGAGGAAAATATTAAAAAAAGAAACTAGATGATAGATGGCAAACAAGACAAAATGAGTGCAAGCCTTCTAGAGAAGTTCTTTAAGAAGATAAAAATTGATAAACTCTTAATAGACTAAAAATTGCAGAGAGAACTTATTACTGACTCGATAGAGCTTCTCATCAAAACCGAGAAGTATTTTCAAGAACAATTTAGATCTCACAACTTCAACCAAGAGCTCTGGAAGAGCAATTGGGATGAGATATACAGGCCAATAAAGAGAATACAAGAAAGTTGATATAATGAACTTGTGCAGGATATTTCAGAAGAAGAATGGTCAAACATGTTAGAGGTATTTAAAAAGAATACGGCACTAGAAGTTTTAGGAATTACATATGCTCTAATCAAAGTAGCAAGCTCACAAGTACAAAAGATATTCTATTTTTTTGCAGAAAGCTGTATATACTCTGGAAAGATGCTAATCAAGTAGAAGGTCTCACAAATTTATCCTATTCCAAAAAACTCAGACTGGAGATATAACCTAAACAATGTTAGACCAATAGCACTGCTAGAAACTTTTAAAAAATATATGACTAAAATTGTAACCAAATGTTTAGCAAAAGTTCTTGCAGAAAAAGATATTCTAAAAAGCTCAAACTTTGCTAGTTTGCCTGGCAACTTTACGGAGGAACCAGTGCAAATAATAAATGCAATAATGGAAGACCCAAAGAACAATAATAGAGAGCTTTGGCTAATTCTACAAGATATAAAAAAGGCTTTTGACTCAGTATCGCTAAGATCCTTAAAGCTAGCTCTAAAAAGGATCAAGATCTCACAAATAACAATAACCTTCATACTAAATCTTTTCGAAAATAGACAATCCAAAATTATCACAGACCTAGGCACAACAGAGAATTTTGAAATAAATGATGGTATTGAGCAAAGAGAAATGATCTTACCACTTGTTTGGAGAATCTTCTATGATCTATTATTGTCAAGAATTCAGGAAGATACAGAGCTAGAATACACTGTTAGACAAAGAATCACAGTTAATGATAATGTAAATCAGTACAAAGAGATCACATGGAAATAGTACTTTGCAAAATCAAATTAAAATTTGAGTTTGATTCAAATATTTGAAATTATTTGATCAAATTTTTAATTAATTTGTTTAATTAATTTCAAATATTTGATCAAATTCAAATTTTGATTTGATTTTGTGAAGTACTATATGGAGACAAGCAGTAGTAGCATATGCTGATAATACGACATGGATCACAAAGAGCAAAACTCAAATGGAAAAGATTAATCGAATAGCAGAAGAGTTCTTTAAATTTAATAACATACAGATTAACAGAAAGAAATCTAAACTAATCGTCTGCAACTCATTAGAAAAAAAGAAAGACCGAAAGCTTCTTTTTGGTAATGAGTGGCTTGCAGAGGAGGGAGGAATAAGATTACAAGATTCCTTGGGTATGGCTAAATAACAATTTGGATGAATCTTTAGTAAAGACAAGAGCAAAAGAGATTGTCTGTTCAACAGCATGAATTTTTAATCCAAAAAAAAATAACTATAGCACAAGCAGCATATATTAATAACATGTATATAGTTTCAAAGCTGTGTTATATGCTACAAGTCTCTAGATTTAAACAAAGAGTAATTGATAGTCTTCAAACTCCCCTTTTCATACTGGCCAAAAA